GTACAAATAGTAATATAATATTTTCCTTCCGTATATATATTTAGTTCACTAAACAGGATTCCCAACATTAATTTTTGTAATTTTTGAAATGTAAGTATTATATTGTTAAGGTACTATGTTTATTTATGATTTAGTAATTAATTTTAAATATATTTACACGGTATAACAGTTAAGAACTAATGCACATTGAAAACTAATGCGCATTATGATAATAACAACAATAAGATATAAAAAAGAATAAAAAAGATAAATACGTTATAATAATACACTCGATTCCCTAGTATCCATCATTTCACACAATCTCAAGCATTCACAACACATCAGCCCATCGTCACGCAAGCAGATCACACTCCGGTGCTGATGCCAAGAGTTCGTTGTGCATTCTGAGGGCACAGAGCAGCGGCGAGTTCCTATGGGACACTGTACGCGCCGAAGGTACTGCGAATATTTCACAACGTCGTACTCTTTAATAATATCTATGCTGCCGTCCTAATGGAAAGTGCAGTAACTAGCATTTTTGACGAAATTGAGTTAAATACATAATCGTTAATACCAAATCAACATCTATATTTGGCTCTAACTCATGTATCAAAATTCCCATGGGAACCCTGTAATACAGGAAGTGAAACTACAGTAACTTAGTATAATATATCACATTTGCTAATTTAAAGTGCTGTAAGATTATTTACTATGAAATTTTTGAGTCAAATTTGAGTCAATGGCGATGGAATTCTAGCAATAAACGCAGTATCAAATAGTTGCTGCACTTATTTTATTTATGTTTTACAAAATCTACCATCTCAGAGCTAATGATAACTGCAGTATCTAACAGTTACTGCACTAATTTTATTTATGTTTTACAAAATCTAGCATCTTAGAGCTAATTATAAGTGCAGTATCTATTAGATACTGCAGTTATTATGAGGAAATCAATAACATTTTGTAGTGGCAATTCTAATAAAACTGTAGTAATTCGTATAGATACTGCAGTTATAATTGGTGAGACGACGTCTCTAAGCTAGTGGCACTCAGTCATCACACAGAGGTGTATTTCTAAGCAAAAACCGATCAAAAGTCGATTTAAAAAGTTTTGTTAAATTCATCTATGAAACGTGCATCGTTCAAGATTAATAACCGTTACACCACTAAACGGGAATTCCAGCGCTCCTGTTTAAATGTAATCTTTCAACCCAATTCTGTGTTTATGTGTGGTGAAAGTTTTGTAATACCTATTATTGATGAATATTGAAGAGAAAGGTACGTACTTTAATTTAAAATTATATTTTCCGGATTGCACTTGATAAAGTGATATTTCTTACCGTATACATTCCACATTAAAAAATAACGTTTTTTTTTTGTAATCACTATATTCACACATGGTTATGTATATCAATTAAGCCTAGTTAATAAAAAGTCAGAAAAACTTAATTATTCTTGATAATGTTTTTAAATAAAAAAGTGCCGTATGTACATTTTAAACAGACTTTTGTTAAATTCTGATCCTTTTTTGAGTAGTACAATGCAAATCCCACAGAAAAAAAAAGTAATTTTTTTCTCCAGTTAGACATAGGAACTTCTGCTGTCGGAAGCATCGGATGCAACATCAACTTAGAAATAATGAAGATGACGATGGGTCTTATAACGACGAATCCCATTAATAATATATTTTTTGCAATTAATTTTTAATACAACGAATAATATGTTTAAACATAACGACTTTAAACTGCTTTTTATTACATGTCAAATCGATAAAAATCATAAAATCATTTTGAGCAACTTTACAGGTGAAGTACTCCTCTGTGCGTCGTCCGCTTCCTGTACGTAATATTTATAAATACTTGTGAAAAAGTGTTATTTTTGACATATAAACTTGATCTTAAGTAAAATAATTAATCAGAGAAGACTGAATGTTATAGCAGTTGTCATAGCATTAATAATAATAATATAGTTCTTTAATAAAGAAACGTGATTTCAAATTATAGTTCCTCAACTAAGTAATTGTTATATGGAGACTGAACTATAACTAAGTAACTTCAATATAAGGCAAGGTTTGATTTTATTTCTATTGTATATTGTGAATCGAAATGTGATTAAGGGTTCATGAATAATATATCTGAAATTTGAACAAATAAATAATACAAGAATTTTCTTTGTTTTATTCTAATTTTATAAATGTACGAAATTAATATATCTATATAAAATACTATGTTTTCTCATCTCTTTATATTCCCAATCAAATTAACACTGTCCGACTTGGGAAATAGAAATCATTTATTCCTTGAATAAGCAAATGTGTTTATTCAAAAAGCATTATCTAAGGTACTTACTGCCGTTATGGTTAGGAGAATCAGTTGTGTTACTAGAGCAGTTACTAAACATAAGTATACTTTTGAAATATTATCATACATAACCTTAACATACATATATAAATATGTCGCATTACAATTCTTCATTCTTTTTCCTTTCTATTGATATACGCCATGTCGCTGTCTGTAACTTGCGTAGTTTTGAAGCTAGAATAAATTTAAAATTATTTTCTTTAACCACTTTTTTTCTCTAAAACAGGTTTGACTTAGTTGCTGCTCTCTTAGTTAGGAGGGCAGTATGTACCTTTTGAGATAGCAACAGTCAAAGTCAAAGTCAAATAATCATTTATTCCATAGGTAAAATTTTTACACTTGAAACCGTCATTTTTTTAAGCTAATGCTCGTTCACTACGCTGTCCTCCCTGAGAAGAACAAGCAAGAAACTATAGGGATTGATCTTTTCAAATAAACTTAAATACTATAGAATACATTTTGAATCATATTTGTGTAGAATCTAGACTCACGTTGTCTTTCCATACATCTTTATCTAAAATGTAGTCTACAATTTTGTAATATGACTTTTTAATTAAAATACTTTTAATGTAAGTTTTAAGCTTAGGAAATGGTAAACTTAATATATGCTCTGGAATCTTATTGTAATAACGTATACAGTTCCTCATAAAAGAATTGTTTACCTTAGTTAAACGAAAATGTGGTAGCATGAGTTTGGACTTACTTCTAAGGTTAATATAATGGATATCTTCTTTCTTAACGAAGTTATGCATATTTTTACGGGCATCAAAATATTTGAGTACATGTACTGTGATGCCTGTCTGCCTAAACTTTTCTCTGAGAGAAATCCGAGAACCTAAACGGTACACAGAACAAACCGCTCGTTTTTCCAACACAAATATGGTTTGTATATCTGCCGCTTTACCCCACATGATGATCCTGTAAGACATTATAGTATGGAAGTAACTAAAGTAAACTAGTTTAGCAGTAGCAACATCGGTAAGTTCACGTATTCTACGGACTGCGTATGCAGCAGAGCTTAATCTGCTGGCCAATGACGATATATGTGGAAACCATTGGAGTTTACTGTCTGAGGTCACTCCCAAAAAGACAGCTTTATTAACAAGGTCTAACTTTTCTCCATTTATTTCTATGATTGGGCTAGTCGATTTTACATTAGGTAATTCAAATTTGACACATTTCGTCTTCTTGGTATTGAGCAATAAATTGTTAATATTAAACCTTTGAAAGGGTATCATTAATATTGTCATAGTTAACGTCGTCTGTCTGTTTTAAAAATCAAGGATGTGTCGTCAGCAAACAATATTATTTCACAAAAGTCCTTAACAAAGAGCGGTAGATCATTAATATAAATGAAAAATAAGAAAAGTCCAAATATTGAGCCCTGCGGAATATCCATTTTTACCGGAGTACCCAAAGAAGTCACTCCATTTATATCTACTTTCTGAATTCTACCGTTAAGATATGACGAGACAAGTTCCAACGATTTGCCACTTACTCCGTAATATTCCAGCTTCCTAATAAGAGTAATATGATCCACGCAATCAAATGCCTTTGAGAGGTCACAGAAAACCACAGTAGCGTTCTGGGACTTTTCCCAAGCATCAAAGATATGTTTTAGTACTGCTACCCCCGCATCGCTAGTCGATCTACTACTAGTAAACCCATATTATTCACTATGATTCCTACAGCAATACGACAGTAGTTGAGTTAACATAACCTTTTCGAATATTTTACTTAAAGCTGTAGAATTGAAAGGGGCTATAGTTACTATGATCAACTTTCCTACCGCTTTTGAATAAAGGAATAACCTTACCGTATATACTATAACTTTTTTTTTTTAAGTTATTTATTGTATAAAGGACAAAATACACAAATATGTTTCTAATCGCATTTTAAATTGTATATGTAAAATAACCAAAACAATATTTCACCTCGCTCCCATCATAGTTTATTTACAAAGCATTAAAAAATTCTTTACAATTTTATGCACATAATGTATAAATAATAGTTAGTTGAGCATTATTTACATTAAAACCTAATAACAACCTTTTTTTACAATCAATTATTTTACATTCGTCATTTGGAAAATAAATATAACAACAATATAATTAAATTATTGGGACATATATACTTTTAACACTGTCTTTAGTTAATTCTGCGTTTATTTTGAGATATAATTTTGTCCTTTTCGAACCTTTTTTAGGACTTAAGGAGGGCTTTGAGCCACAAAAAAATTGTGTGACGTCGTAAAAATCACGACTCCTGCCTGCATCCATTTGTACAGTAATATAACTTACAATTTCATCGGTTAATAATAAAAGAACTGTCAAAAATAATTTCGTAACAACTAAACAACATTTGCTCGTAAAATATATTTACAATTTAGTATAGACTTTTCGCTAATATTATAACAATACAAAAATAATGTCATAGAAAGCATTTACATAAAAGCCGTAGGGAAAAAGTGCCGTAGTTGTTACATTAATTTGTTATTCTAATAACGATATCATTACTAATCGTTAGTAGCGTTATTTCCAGAAACAAAAGAGATACAACTTATTGAAAAAAGTCAAAACCGTTGTAAAAAAGTCGTTAATTTTAAAATTTTAATCGAATATAACACGGAAAGAGTGGTGTAAGTACACCACTCTTTCCGTGTGACCTATATGTTTTAATAATAGAACAATACCTAATTTAGTAAAAAATCATTTCGAATTTAGCAATTTTAATATTAGATCCAACTCTGTTCCATTACAGTGAAACTATTTAAAACTAGGCATTAGGTAGTCATTGCGTCTTGTTTTTTTTTAAATTTCTAATCTTTCTACTCTATAATAATTCGACCCTTACTCTTATATAACCTGATTGTATTTGTTCCCGTTTTGAAATTTGTGAAAACTAAATAAGTACCTAATACATTGTACCTAAAGATTATGGGATAGTGTAAGTAAGTACAGTTGTCTAAATTACAATCGATTAATCACCGTCACAGTATATTGCTTTATGATTACTATTTTAGCAAATTTTTGTTTTATAATTTCAACATTTTTTTCGTATGAATATTGACTTCCATATATATTTTTACGTATTATTGAACATGACTGTACAAGTTAAGGCATGCAGCTGAGATATTTGGTAATATAGATAGAAAAATAACAAAAGGCTGTACTCGTTACTACGTCACTCGAGTAAAAGTTTCATTTTAATAAATATTAGACAATATCACCATCAAGCTATTTATAAAGTTGTCATTTGATATCATTTTTGTTTATATTCGTCAATTCGCTTAAGAGCTGCAACTAAAATTATTGGTAAAATTATCACCGTTGTTGGATTTCTAGTCTTAAACTATGCGTGGTAGTGTTGCAATTCCTCCGCGCCCAGCACAGCAGCTTGTATCGGGACTTCTGTAAAAATTTTGGTTTTTAAGTTAATAAACTTATTTTTATTTTAGTTAATTGTACATCTCTACGTGTTATAGATAATTTCCTTGTGTTTATTACGTAGGTGCTATAATAAGTGTAAATATTCTGAAAAATGTTAGTGTTTGTTGGTAACCTCCTAAGACCCAACAAACTACAATGGAAAAAGCGCTAAACACTAAAATACATGCTTTAGTACCATTGACTTACAAATAAATGGACGACGGGTCTAATACAAAAACCACGAAAAAAATGTCCCAAGTCAACCTATTTAAACGTAGCGACATTTAAAGGAATATGAAAAAGCTAAAACGTTGGATTTAAATTGTAATGTCATCGCAGCACTGTCTAATTTTGCTTGCTTCGCTGTCCGTCGAACAAACGAAGACTAAAGCTTGAATGACGCTCTGTATACGATTTTAACGCCCTATAAGTTCGGACACTTTTTAGCGCGGACCCGACGTCCATATAATTGTAAGTCAATGTTTAGTACACACTAGTTTGTATGAAAAAGGTATTTTTCTAGATTCTTTATGGTCACATACAAGTTTATTTGTAAAATACTAACAACCTCGCAGGACTATATTACTAACATCATACACAACAACATTAAATTTGTTAATGTATAACTTCTTAACAAAACATTAGAACAGTACAAAAATGATACATTTAAATATTTTTTTACTCCTGTACTATATATCTGTCAATCATAATTTGGTAAACCATATCACAAAAGCGCTCTTTTTAAATCTGAATCAAAATTTTGTTGTCTATGGTACTCGCTACTTAACTGGAAAATGTCAACAAATTTCAAAAAAGAACGTCGTATTTTTTTAACTAATGACGCTACTCAATCACTCTACTGCCGCCTAATTGGTTAAATGCATTGACTTACAATTATATGGACGTCGGGTCCGCGCTAAAAAGTGTCCGCACTTGTAAGGCGCTAAAATCGTATACAGAGCGCCAAACTCCGCTTTAGTCTTCATTTGTTCGACTGACAGCGCGATACTGCGATGACATTACAATTTAAATTTCGAATAGGTTGACTTGGGACATTTTTTTCGTGGTTTTTTGTATTAGACCCGTCGTCCATTTATTTGTAAGTCAGTGGTTAAATGGTAAAAACCTTTACAAAAAAGAAAATTACTTGGCCACTACTATTCTATCTCTTCGGTTTTTTTCTTTTGTAGCATTTGTTGTCAATCCATGACAACAAACAAAATATACATTGAATATTGGTAGTGTTTTATTACTTTATTTACTCGTAGAAAAAGTATTGTATGCAATCATTATTAGGTCTTAAAATTTTGAACCTACCTATTACTTAGGTCACTTGGCAAAGTCTCGTAGCGTAAACATAGTATTCGACTTTAAGAACCGCCTTTAATTATACAACAATTGCATAAAATAGTATTACTTTTGCACAAAAATAAAATGTGATGAAATATTAAAAGTCATGGACTAAAGTTGTCGTTTATGACATTAGTAGTATAATCCTACGAAGCTGTTTGTGTTTTACAAATAATTCCGTAGAATATAATATAGTGCTAAATTTAAATGCGATATTTTATATAAATTGGGCGTGTACGTGATCATAGAGGAATAATATTGTCTGGGTCTGAAACACATTACATTATTATGTACATTTTGTTGTAAGTACATACACGGGGCCTTAGGTTAGTATATATAGGTTGGTTAAACACAGTTAAAACATGTATACTAAACTACTTATGTGTAATACTAGAACCCACTGTAGTCGACGTACTGAAAAATTAACACACAACTACTAGTATATTGACTACATGAAATTGAAACTACTGATTGTGTATGTAAATGTGTGTGGCACCGTAGACTAGAAGAAAGTGAAAGTAATAGGTCAAGATATTCAGGTCTCATCATTTAGTTGAATGGAATATACTGTATGTTTTAATTATAAAGGTATAAAAGACTTGCCGAGTGACTGTAAATATGCAAAGGAATAACTAGTTATCTGTTTGTAAAACTGTACCTAGATTTCATTGATGTTTATATAGAGTTAAAAACGCTCCTTAAAGAACTAAAATAATGTGTCAGGCTATCACAGTAATCACCTGATATTAAACTAAGGAATTCCCTGTACTATGAGCAACGGAATTCACTCTGGGGCACAACCCAACTTAACCAGACCAGAAGTAACTTATAAAAGTTAATTACTGAAATTGGTCTTACTGGGAATCGAAACCAGGACTTCTTCATCCAGCGCCCGCAATGCAAACTGCTAGGCCACTGAGGTCGTCGAAAATTGTGAAATTAGGAGGTATAGTGATGTAATCAAAGTAGTTTTAAAGGATCAGTCTAAAGTATGTAATGCACCTGCTAGTAGAGACCAGTAAATACGGAGTGTTATAACTGTAATTATCACTGATCATACAAGTAAAGGTATTTTATCAAAAGATATATTAATAATTAAAACCCTTATTTGTACAAAAATGCAGTCTATTTTTGAAATTCCCAGCTAAATAAATACAATGTTATCACCTAGCAAAGTAGATGGAAAATGAAAAGGATTTAGTTCTTATCAATCATTGGTTATTTTAAATTACAATGTGATTTATGTTATAAATGTCATATGATGAGACTTGAATTCAAACAGTCATAAAAAGTCAAAATTATAAGTCAGTGTAGTCGTCTTTTAGTCTTAACCCACCTTCTGTCAGTCAACCGTCAGTCAGTTCAACCGTGCACTATGATCTTGTTCCCTCGTAGGTAGTATTTCAAATCTTTTCTTTCCCTTTTGTTTTCTTCCCCCACCGTTGCCGATTCCGACGTCGGTTTTGCTGTAGTCGTTGTCGTTGCTGTCATTGTGGTGGTTGGGTCAGGAAAGAGGTCCGCAGGAAGGACTCCAATGTCATTGTCAGTTACTACAGGAGTGGGTAATTGAAATTTGCCTTTAAGTAAATCCTTATATGCCTCCAAGCCATTGAAATTTGGAAGAACTTCTGAAGATCTGTGGGTATCATGGAGATATGCATTTAGTTTCTCAAGATTGTGATTGATTTTGTGAAGCTTATCGGAAGTTAGCCCTTGTGAATTTGAGATAGTAATGTGCTTTGTGGGGTAAACAGATTTTTTGGATGAAACGTAGTCAAAAGGCGGATGAGGATTATGTGGATCATAGTTATTGTACGTATCAGTAGCGGCTGGCAAGCCATACGAATCAACAGCACCCCATGACATTGGTTGGAACGTAGGGAAAGATTGAAGAGGTGGTGGAGGCGGATGGTGGGTTAGAGTAGCATCTTCTGCGTGTGCCGTTGGTGCCGCAGAGAATACATTTTTAATTGCACTGAAGACATTGTTCAGTATTGACGGAGTAGAGCCTGCGGTCGCATGTCCTGAATGCGCGGTATGCAGCGTCTCACCCGGTGCTACATCGCTCAGTGGAGTCAGTATCACGAGGCCTGCTTGTACTCCGCTCAGTTTATTTCGTCCTGTCTCAAAAATTTTGTCAACGTCAGTTATACACGTTATATGTCAGTCAATATTCACAATATATTCAGTAAATTAGTATATTATATTGAAAATAATCGCTTACACGTGTGTACCATAGAATAAAAATACGAGTATGGTAACTCCATTCATGCGCAGCAGCGCGTCTTATATGTGTGCATGCCCGCCGCGGGACGTGTACGGACGCACACATTCGTATAATAACGATAGACGCGTTGGTCGACCAGCGCTGTGCAAAGCGAGTGCATCGCGAAATTATACGATCCGTTACGACAAGCTCCTGGCGCGTACATAAACAGACCGCGCTGCTACATTTGTACGGAGTTACCATATTTGTCTTATTATACTATGTACATATTGTTATATCATTTGAATAAGTTTTATTTATTGCCAACCTTCATGACACTTCCTTTCTCTTCATTATTTGTAAGTAAAATATGACCATTACAGTGCATCTAAGAATATATGTAATACAATTTATTTTTTAGTTGCCTATTAAGTATTATTATATTACGTCAGTCAATTGTCCGAATTTCTCAGTGTCTTATAATGAGTCAAGTCATACAATTTTGTGCATGAACGTAAGGAGTACCTATTGAACGAAAGTATACAGGCATCGTGTGGTGAACACCGTAGTCTAGAAGGAATAAAATACATAAAGCAATATTAGAACGTAAAAAACAATGGAGTTAAATAAAAGTAAGTTATAAGAAATAATATACTAAAAAATATATATAATGTATAAAATATTTCAAACAAAAAACTTCTAATTGAATAATAAAATACGAAAGTAGTCATAAAATTGAAAGTTGCAAAAGAAATAAGACATTTTTAATAATTAGACCACTCATAACGCAATTGATATAAAAAATGGACGTGAATGTTCTTGCCTACATCCTGTCGACAACATATTTTCGTAATTGAATGGAAATCGCTATATTAAAAAAGTGGTCTTGTGACTGTTGCAAATAATGTGACCAAAACAGAAAATATTTTTGAATATTTTAAAATTATTCCTAGCGTTTTCAAATTTGGAACGTTCGTAAAAAGTTATTAACATAAGACGTTAAAGTAATTTTGATTTTAGAAAAAATGCCTCCCCAAATAAAAAATGTGTTTTATTATAATATAAGTACATCACAATTAAGTAGCACAATAATCTCATGGTATAATAAGATGATAAAGTGGAACATTTCGGCCAACATTCTTCATGAAAACTATATGATACTATTCAAGGTCAAAGTAAGCACACATTTTTTAGACAAATATGTTTTTTTTTTGTACACCAGGTGTAATTGTAGCCCAGCTTGTGTTTATTTTATATTAAAAAAAAATGCCATAATATATTAAAAAAAGAGATTAGAAATCAAACACCCAGGGTTCCATGTTCTATTTTCAGAAAATTATTCTTAATTGGAATAATTAAAAAGTAAGGTAAATGTATGTTGTATGATGAAATTCTGTAATTATGTAGCGTTCGAAATAAGACCTCACTCAGCTTGTTGTGATTAAAAGAGCCCTAATAAACGTATACGGCTTGGATTGACATGGCTTTGGTTGTCACCTCAGACATTGAGGAAATAAAAATCTATGTACAATTTTGGATGTAATATACTTTGCATCTTTGTGTTATAAGGTCACCTTTGCAAACTGACAACTTTTCAGTGAGAAAAGGTTAAAGATTCTATGAACAAAATTAGTCGATATTTATTGAATATGACGATGGTAAACTACCATGATAATCTATTACTTTATATGAAATTACTCCACTTGTTTGTTATAATTATTAATACAAAGGTTGAACATTAAGAAAAATTCCATTGAAACCGAACCAGCGCACCTTACAAATTTTTCTATGCACTTGTTGCCGATCGTTGTTTTTGGTTTTTAGCAACTTTTTTGCCGTAGCACCGTCTGTAAGAAATCTACGAAAGTTTTTCTTCACTCAGCCTTTCCTATTTTGAACTTTATATACTTTAAAAGGTGAGTTAACATATTACATATTATAACTTATTTTTTTATTGAATTGATATTCAATTATTTTTTGTGAAATTATCCACTACTTTGTTATAATTATTAATACAAAGATCAAATACTCAGAAAAAATTCCTTCGATCCGGCCGGATTCGAACCGACGTCTCCTAGCAAACTGTGTCAGACGCTATACCAACTAAGCAAGGAACGATCCAGCGGACCTCACAAATTTTTCTATGTGCTTGTTGATGCATCTTTATATTTGATTTTCAACGACTTTTTAGCTGTAGCATTATCTATGAGAAATCCATGAAAGTATTTCGTCACCCAGATAGATACCTTTACAGCTACCACCCCTGGCTAGAAATATCGCTATTAATGGTAATTAAATTTTTATTGAATTGATATTCAATTATTTTTTGTGAAATTATCCACTAGTTTGTTATAATTATTAATACAAAAATCGAACACATAATTTTTACATAATTTGTTTCATGTAATTCGTATTATTTTTATGACTTTCGATTGATAAAAGTACTATAAACGTATGATCATATGTATATGACTTTATTATACAAAGTGTAAACTTCGCAATCATATGTAAGTTTATCTAGGAAATACCTTCTACTTTAAAGTTTCATAACATTTAATCCTCAGACTAATTGTATGTCATTAAGCGGGTATTGCATTATAAAAATTTAATTACATTAAGTCGCAAAATGTCTTAGAAAATCATTATAAACGTGGGACTTCTTCATATTAATGACCGGAAGGAACCTTTCACAGTCTTCTTTCACCGACAAGTTGGGTAACATTGCGCAATATCCGAGCCGTGGTCCACAAAAGATAATGTCTACCATTTAGTTTTTTTTTAACTGTGGTTATTCGACCGTGTAGTTTGGCACTATTTAGGAACATTTTGAATGCAATCTGTATTATCTACTAAGTATATTGTACAAATGTACAAACGCGTTCTAATAACAATAACTTAACTTCATCTTCAAGGTTTTTTTGTATGATACCAAGTAACGGGACGAACACGTCGTGCTGTCTGGTGTTAAGCCTCTCCATAACAGTTGCAATGCCACTCAGAGGGGCATTACCACTCCGCCGTCATCATAATTTGACAAGTCCCAATTGCTCTAATTTCACCAGCACCTTTGCTCTTCAAAACCGTAACGTACTAATGCTCACATTACTGCTGAAATAAGTATGGTGGCAGCACTTCCCTAGACGAACTTTTTCGAGGGATGAATTGTTGGATAAATAGTTCGTTTGCTTTCATCAACACACTGTTTGACACGGATCTCTTATAAGAAGACGATAATGAACGAACAAGCACGCTAACCTTAATGTATTTACGTAATATTAATAAATGCGGGTACCATATTTAAAACAAAAAAACGGTAATGCATTTTGTACAGCATTATTCTCCAAAACCAAGCTTCAGAATCATTGGAGTTTTACAAAGAACCAACGAACGAATGAATAATATTGAGATTTTTTTTGTAATTTAAATATTTACATATTTTATATGAAATATTATGTGTGAGGTAAACTTTTTATTGATTAATTACGATATGTTTTCAATAAAAACATCCAAACATTCAAATATAGAATGTCTCTGCTTTACATAAGAATATTAAACTTATGTCCATACAATTTAGGTATTTTTTTATGCAGCTAACTATCGAGGGAGAAAATTTGAATGTTAAAATTATTGGAATGAATTAATCAATCAAATAATGCAATCGTTAAATTCCGTAAAACTCAAACAACTCCAAAGCTAGAGCTTAAGGAAATGGTATTTTCTGTAAAGCAATAATTTTGCAATCTTATGTTAAATTTTCTATTAGTATATATTTAATTTAACGAGGCTGCAGGTTTGTTTCGGTGTATGTACTTAGTACGCACTTCGATATCATGCTAAAGGTATCTGGACTTTACCTTTTTCTTTAAAACTATAAACTTCTTTTTGTAAGAGGTAATAAATATCTCTATTATTAGATGCTTACGCGACTTTCATAAAAATTACATGCGATTTGTAAAAGTAGCATAAATTAGATGTAACACAATGAATGAAATAAAATTGTAACTAACATGCAAGTTTCACTCACTAATGTAATTGAAATAGCATAACACATTTAGCCATAAATAAATATGACAATCCGTAGATTTACTATGACAAGACAAAGACGTGAAAAGTAGATTGTGGTTGCAACATTGAAAGGAATATATCTCAAAAAATAGGCTATTATTTTACCGACTTTCATAGTAATAATATAGGCCTTTACTAATATAGTATTTTAGATTACATACTGTACGCAGTAGAGCTCCTAGTGAAAGAGTTCGTCCAGGCAAGTACAGTCACCTTAAGTATTTCTGCCGCCAACCAGTAATGTTAGCATTACTGTGTTCCGGTTTTGAAGGGTAAGGATGCTGGTGAAATTACAGGCACATGGGACTTGTCAACTTAGGTCTCAGGGTGACGGGCGCAGTGGCAGTGCCCCTCAGATCATTGCGATTTGAAGCTCTGAGTGGCACTGCAACTATTATGGACAGGCGTGTAGATTACCATCACTTGATATTATAAAAAAAATCAAATCGTGCCCTTGGCCATAAAATCATACCTTATATGTGATAAATAAAAAATGCTGTTATTACATGAAAATGATAAAAATAATACGAACTACGTGAAACAAAATAATGCGTATGTGAAATTATGTAACTCTCCTGTTTAAGCATAAAAATGTTATGGAGTAATTTCGTTCGCAGAATCTTAAGACATGTCTCCGGAAAAGTTGCCGTTTATAGATATGACCTTATTACACCAAAGGTGCGAATTGCTGGACGACTTTTAGGAATACATGCAACCAAACGTCTTTTTTAAACATTTTGTGCTTAAACATTCAATAAGATCCAAATTTATTAGCCAATTTCATTCTAATGACACGTTCAGTACATGAACACCAAATCAAAGAGGTTTTACCATGGTTAAATTAAAAAT